TTTTTTTTTTTTTTTTTTTTTTTTTTGAAAGCTTGCAAAAAGAATTACAAAGCCTTACTTTATGGGGCGAGAATTTTGAATGGGGTCATAGTAAATAAATTTAATTTCTTTTTTCTTTACAGTTCTTTCTGACTGTAGGTTTCTGAAAAGTCCACCCAACAACCAAACCCACACCGTCCCGAGCGGTAGGCGGATAAAAAGGGACTTCTCAGCACTTGCATTTCGTTAGTTCTGCTATGTATTTGAAAACGTCATCTGGAAAAGTTTTTGGTTGAGGTATTATTCTAAAACCATAGAACATGTAAGGACGGATACGGAAAATAAATATTTTCTCTTTCGTTTTTTATTTCTTTCTTGAAGGGAAAGTAAGAGTAGGGTATTCTTGTTAATTCTTCGTTTTTTTTTTTTTTTTGGATGTTGCTTCAATGGTACGACAGTAAGACTAACACCGTAGAGCACTTTCATTACTGTCTGTGGTGAGTGATGTTCTGGAATAGGATCTCTTCATTTTATGGGATCCTCAAGCTCTTGTAATATGGTTTTTGTTATTTTTTTTTTTTTTAGTTTTTCTTAATTTTAGGTTTTTTTCTATCTGTGTTAAAACCGTTTCAATACAAGAAAACCAGTCTACGAGAAAACTCCACTCGCACCTTCGTTACCCAGCACCCCTCCTCGGGTTTCTCTTTTTTTTGCATTTAATTGAACTCATTAAAGTCCTGTTTATTTTTGCTACTTCTTCGGTCGGCGACACGAGCGCCTTACGTACGATTCTATCGGGGTTCCATAATCGAGGGCATTGCCAATTCTAATGTGCGCGGGAGGACTTGCGGGGTATGAGGAAGGGGATGTAGGGTTTCTTGGGTGTGAAGACTGTGGTATAGTGCAGTTCCGCTCCACCGCAATGAGGAATTTTGCTAACCGCTTAGAAAAACATAGTTTCATCAGGGGCACATAATCAACGATAGCAAATTGAACTCGCAGTGGATGAAGAGCGGGGCAACTCAAAAGATGCAGAGCTGTTTTGTCGCATTCGTCGCGTTGGCTGGTGTGCGCGCGAATAGGTTGACACCCGTGTCGTGACATTCGGTGTAGAGTTAGACCTGACTTACTCATACACATTGGCGACCGCATGAGGGACAGACTAATGCCGGAAGGTCTCTTGTTTTCGTTTTCTTGTATCGTGTGATGGTGGAATTTGTTTTTTGTAGGCATTCCCTGTCCATAATAGAATTTTCTGCAGTGGATTACGAGGGAGTCTAGGTGGACGTAGAACTTCTGGCAGACTCCGCGTTGAACTTTCTCTCTGTTCTCACGCTCTGGTGGTGGCGACGTATCTCGCTGGCGTTTTTTATTTCGCGGAAACGTTACTTGTATTGTTGCTAGCAGAATTGGAGTTCCAGGTGGATGTTTAAACTTTTTCTGGCATGCGAGACCTCCAATGTTGCCAAAGTCGCGTAGGCAAAATTCGCAGCGTAGGGAAGCAAGTTGAGGGATTAATTGGGTACGAGGTGCGTCCTTTGTGGGGTTCTCAGGACGTTTCGCTCTAATATGGGATTTGAGGCTTGTTTTAGAGCGCGCTACCATATCACATTTGTCAAAGGGAAATGCTGATTCCTCTGGTATCGGTTCGTCGGCTCGCGGGCGTTTTCTCTCTGGGACAGGGCATGTGGCATTGTGCATGTATCTAAGGTGGCGCGTTAATCCATTTTGTAGTGGAAATGTTCGGTTACAGATGCTGCAGGCAAACGGATGGAGTTTTGCTTTAGGCGAATTGGGATGGGGTAACGTTGTGTCCGGCGGAGGTGGCTCATGGGGGAATTTGATCTTCCAGAGCGCATCGGCTCTCTTGAACCCATGTTTACTGACCATATGTACTACTGCGGTGTTCCTGCATGAGTATTGTGTCCTGCATTCAGTGCAGGTGGCAGGTTCCGTTGCTTTGTTTAGTGCATAGCGCGGTCTTTTCTGGCTAGGTGGAATAACGGGTGTCGGCGTGCTGACTTTTTGGGGATTACACCATCGACAACCAGGGGGAATATGGGTTTGTATCTTTCGCAGCAGCCAGCCATAGCGAAGCGAAGCACCTGTGCGAAAACGTGCTAAGGCTGTTTCTTCCTCTCTAGTGAGTTCCGGGTTATCTTTGGTGGGGTTCCAGGATCCAGTGATTTTTGATCTATGGGAGAGATGGGGTGTATCCTCTCCCTTAAGTATTCGTTTGGGGTAGGCTATTATATCTGTGATTCAATTGTCATTTCTTTAAAGGGAATGTGCAATTTTTTTGCCTTCAGCGTCACATGATTCATTTTTATATATCCCACAATGGTCAAATGCAAATTGTACTTGAACGTGGGACCCGTTTCACTCAGCAGTGCCTTGGTGAGGAGCGGTACCGTTGACAGCACGCCGGCAACTTTCCAGGGCCTTCTTGGATATACTTTTTGCGACAGCACGACGCGGATATTCCTGACGATGTAAGATAGGGGAACCTAAGCGCCAACAAGTCTTCGAGAAGAAAAACATCTTCTGCTCATGGCTTTCTCCGGCAATACGAAGTGCTGCGCCTTTGAACCACAATGGGGTGCCCGGCATTGCGAAGTGTGTTGGGGTTTAGTGCCAGATTTATTCAGGGAAACCAAAAGCAATCAAGAATATTTTCCAGGATGTGGTCCCCAAAAGGCTGCATTTTATTCTGAACGAAGTGGTCTTTTGAATGGTCCAAGAAAATTTTATTTTTGACACATGCATTCTCATGAATGCTGCCCATTGGCGCCATTTATCCGCCGAAAGCGTGTGCGAAGGCCCGTTGCCCCGCATTTTCGGGGAAGCCATGGGCAAGCAATGCTCTCTTGCGGGCGCCCCCTGGCCACAAGCCGCGAACAAAGCGCGGCATCGGAACGAGCGCGTTTTGCCGAGGCACTATTTATTCCAAGAAGATCCAGGAACGCACACCAGCATACCATCAGCAGCTTTATTTTGCTTAACCCACCCCTCTTTGAAAGCCCCTGTGGGAAATCAAGGCCTCGAAAGATGGTAACAATTGCGACGCCCCGTGGTATATATAGATTTCGCCACTGGGGAAAAACGGAAAGGCAACAGAAATTTATGATCCACCACCTAAGAGATTCTTACAGGCTTCTTTACCATGACCGCGAAGCGCGTTCAACGGTAGAAATAGAATATAAAAATCAAAAAATACACGCTCCGTATAAGTTGAAGGTGTGATGGGCGAATAAAGTGACCCCGATAATAATAAAACGTTGGCACGCAGTAGATGAATATGGGTTGAATTGCGCCTTCAGTGAACCTCTTTACCCTTGCGAAATGTCACGGCCCATGGGGAGACAACGCAGTTGAACGTGTGCTTCAATACAGCCCCGCTCTGTTACAGATTTCCAATGGATAACTGGTAAACAGGGCGGAGGTATTGGCCTGATCGCTAGCAATTAGTTTCAAAGAATGATTATCACATAGTAGGTTGTGGCATTGGCGGCGGTTAGTCTCAGGGACTCTTGGTTTCCTTTCTGGCCGATCCTAAAACGGAACCTCTACGATAAAGGAACCTTATGTTTCACAAACATTCTTATCGTTTTGAGGACGCATATCTCAGAAGAATGCCCATACGGATGCATTTCAACGGGTCTCTACGGCATTAAGAAGAATAAAACTTGCGACCCAATAACTAAATAAGAATTCAATTTGATGCAACGCATGAATACAAGGATTGCGTGCGTTGTGGGAATGGAAAAATGCCACTTTTAGGCGCAACAACGCCGATCGCGCGCAGGCAGCGCGGGACTACAGGCGAGTAGAATTTCAGAAAGGTGCACCACGAGACATTCCGGGAGGAAGAATCTGCGCCATTGCGCTTCCACATGGAAGGCCCACACCCCTATAGCGAACATATTCTGGCTCTTTCGCACCGTACCCCAGGAACTGCCCAATAGCGCAACCCAGGTGGGGATCCCGTAAAACGGCCAAAAAGGAACGCTGCAGTGGCTCGGTGTCTGCTGCAGTGTGTCCCGCCCTGCAGCTTTTAACCGTTAAATCGTTTCGACTGCAATAGGTCCATTTCTCTCGATACCCCGTGACGGTTCATTCTCTGCAAAACAAGGGTTCAATACACACCAGAACCCCGCAACGGGTTAAAACCCACCATCGGCCACGGGGGCAGATAGCAAGCAAGAAACCCCCTTCCGATCCCAATAAAACCAAAGCACCGGAACGACGGACGCACCGACTAAAGGGCCCTGGCAAGAACAACTGCAAAAAAACTCTCTCCCCTTTTCCTTTCTTTGTGCCTTTTTTTACGCCGCAGGGGCAACCAACACAAACCCCACGGCTTCTTTGCCAAGAACCGTTTCCGTAAGAATGTTCAAACAAACCGTGGCAAGCCCCACCCGCAAAAAAAAAAAAGGACTTGGCATTTGCAACGCCCACATTTCGTGCTCAAGGCTTTTAACAAGAAAGATTGCGATTCAGGCGATGGGATTCCGAGGGTCCCACCGTTTCAACAATCACGGGAACTAAACTGCCAGCAAGTAAACGCTTTTTTCCTTACATGCCAAAAGCCAAGGGCCGCAGTTGTAACCCGACCATATGCGTATCGATGGCTTTGGCGAGGTGTAGCGTAAGGCACGTCAGTAAAATCATGCCTTGGTAAGAATGTGCTACCTTATTGTGGTGCCAAGGTTAAGTGCTTGAATTTATTCATGGAAACTAAATGCACTTAATAAATTGTTAAAGGAGGTGGTCTCCTCAACAATCGCAATATATTTTACAAGGGGTGGTCTCCCTTAAAAACCGAATTCTTTTTATTTTTCTTTTCAATATATGCATTCGTCGGAATGCTATCCCCTTGTTGGCGTTTGGCCATCGAAAGGCTGAGCCAAGGTCCATTACCTCGTGCATGGTGCGGGAAAAGCCATGAGTAGCAAACTTTTCTATAGAGTTTACTGCTTCACAAGCTACAAACGTCAAGCAGCACCGGGGCTAGCAGAGTCCTGCTGGGAGAAAACCTTATCCAAGAAGGCCCTGGGGCACGCATCGGCATGCCATCAGCAACAGTTTCTTTTACATAATTCACCTTAGTGTGAATGCTGCTAAAAAAACAAACTGGCAGAGACCCTAGAGATAGTAAAACACTATGCCCTCCAGTGGTGGAAATTGGATTTGGCCGCTGAGGGGACTCAGATAGGCGAAAAAAAAACATGCTCTGCCATCTACAGGGGCCATCGCCGTCCCATTGCCACGGCGCAATTCCGCCGCGCAGCGGTAATTAAATAAAATGAAAAACAAATAAAAAAAAATAAATAAAAAAATAAATAAATACAAAACAAAAACATACCAAACATTCTTCCTTCTTGCGTTGCTCCATGGAAGGGATTGGGTATTCCTCTATTTTGACCGCTTTCGCTAGGTGGTCGGTTCCGCCCGTCACGTGGCATTTCACCCTTGGCAATGTTATCCCCGTAGGTGGTGGTGGGAGTTGTGGTGCATCGTCACTTTCTTGTTCAAGTTTAGTGCTCGGCATTGGTCGTACTGCAACCGTCATTCCAGACTGGTTAAATCCCATGTGAAACGCCAGACCCTAGCGCCGCACAAGGGCCGTTGGCATGCGGGAC